TCATAGCTACATCATTTGTATTTTTGTTTTAGTAGGGAAGAAGTATTGGTTTGTGATTTCATTGATTTGGAGATCTCTTAATGTGTAAAGGAACTTGTCTGAAATTTATTATCTTAAGATAATTGCCTAGAATACCAAGAGTTTGAGACTTGCCTATGGATACCCAATTTGTATTTATCAGAGGTGGTTTTTCGGATTCCAAAGCTATGCCTCCATCCAATACCCCACACTCCCTCTTTTTTTGAAAGAGCAAAGACTAAAAAAGAAAACAGAAAAAAAGAAAAGAAAAAACAAACTAGATATAAATGGTTGAGAAAAGGTTCCCTAAATTGTGGTACTTTAATGTAATAGAATGCCAATGTGCCATTAAAAAGGATAAATCTGAGGAAAACAAGGAAAAATGGGAAGATAGATGAAATAATTTAAAATGAAAATGTTTATTCTTTGTACTTTTATCTTCAGTGCCCAGCATAGTGTCTAACATACAGTGGTTCTTAAATACTTGTAAACTGATTGATTGAGCAAAGGACACACAAGTTTATTTGTGCATGGTTGTTGGCATATGATTTGGTACTTAATAAATGCTTGTGGATTTATTTATTGTTAGATGGACAACTTGAAGACTGGAAAGTCTTAGGGGAATAATACCAGTGCTTACAGGAAAAAATGATTATTTACAATAAGAAAGAGAAGCTAATTCGCTTTCTTTTAAAACAATAAATGCTTTATTAGAAACATCTTTAAACATAAATACAAATAGCAATGCTGCTTTTGTAGCTATTTACATTTAAGGTTTTTTGAATTTCAACACATAGAGTATCATAACGCATTTCCAGTCTTCCTCTAAGTCCCAATTAGTATAATAAATCCATTCATTCTCATTCATTTTCCTCATATGATGGTAGTTTGTGTGTATTTTTTGGCTATTTTTCAACTTTGCATTATTGCATAAAGATCTTTCTAAATTTCTTTGTATTCCTCATGCACGTCCATTTTAACTGCATTATAGTATTCTGTTACATTTGAGTACCACAATTGATTTAACTATTCCTTAATTGTTGAGTAATTAGGTTACTTCCAGTTTGGGTTTTTTTTTAATTACATGTAGTGCTATTATGAAAATCTTTGAACAGAAAGCTCTTTTGTTTGTTTGTTTTTAATAACACTGTCAGGTTATATTCCCAACAATGGAATTCTTGAGTCAAAGGGTATGATTGTTTTTATAACTTTACTTACATGATGCCAGATTGCTTTCAGAAAAGACTCTACTTTGCAATTGTCATGAGCAACAAGGGCCTGCCACATCTATTTCCCTATAACCCCCTCCAGCATTGAGTCCTCTTACTCAATTATTTTTACCTATTGGGTGGATATGAGGTGATGCATCAAAGTGGTTTTTATTTACAGGTCTTCGATTATTAGTGAGGTTGACTGTTTTTTCAAATTATAATTATCATTTTCTGTTTCTTTTCAAAATCATCCGTTCCTATCCTTTGTCCATTTATCCATGGTATTGTGACTTTAAAAATCTTATATATTTTAGATATTAAATTTGCATTGGTCATATTTGGAATAAGCATTTTCTTATCTTTTTCCTTTTCACCTTATTTATAATTTTTTTTTGGTTGTTGTTGTTGAATAGTTTGCCAGGCATATATATTTGTTCCCATGAATTATTTTCAGTTGTGGGATTAAAAAAAAAACATATCTTCTCTCCACTCACTTAAATGAATCTATAATCTCATCAAATGGATATTACCTTCAATGATGCATATTGCAACTATTCATACGTACCCATTCTGGGAGGTTCTTTCTTATTCATTTCCCTCCAAAACTGAGCTAAACCCTTCATTACATTTCCCCCACCTTTTATACAGTTCTTTTTATGTTTAAGTCTCTCTGCCTGCTGGAATTCACTAGTGTATATACAGTAAGATATAGATCCAAAATACTTTTCCTGCCAAATTGCCAACTGGTTTCCCCAAATACATTTGTAAAATAATGAATCATTCCCCCATCTTTTATATTTAGTCAATAAGCATCTATTAAGTGCCTATTTATTCAGTTAATAAGCATGTATTAAGTTCCACAGGGGACACACAAAGAGACCAAAGATAGTCCTCAAGGAACTCACAATCCAAAAACTAATAATTTGCATGCAATTGGTTGGGTTTCTGCTTCTGGGTTTAATATCTATTTCATTCCAGTCATCAGTTTCTATATTTTATGCACAAGTTTGTATGATAGCCACTCTACAATATATTTTAAGGTCAAGGCATGAAAGATCCCTTTTTTCAGTGTTTCTTCTGTGTGTCTTTTAATATTCTTGCCCATTTGTTTGTCCATATATAGCAGAGACCATCCTCTGAAGTAAATGATATAGAACATTACTATGCTTTGGCTCCTTGCTAAAGGACAAGTGTCCTCCACTGGCACATAATTAGTCTTCATTTATTCACATGACTGGAAGCTGTATTGAAGACAATCAGAGGTTGATCCAGGGGAAGCTTTCCCATCAAAATAACATAAGAGCTTTGGAAAGTTCTGCCTTCCTCTCTTGGTGTGTCAATGATCTTTTGAGACACACAGTTCTTTCTCAGATTTCCAGTACAAATGATGGAGGGAATTTCTCTTATTTTCCCCCACTTTGCACTCCCAGTTGCTGTGATGACCCACAGTGAGCACATGGCAAAGGGGAATATCATGTGTTTGCCTAGGCAATGCTGAGATAGGACCTCAAGTTCCTGGATATCTCTTTCATCCGTATTTCTTGCTCTAAGCATAGGTCATTGAACAGTGGTCCTGAGACATGAATATTTCTAGGCTTGCCAGCTACTTTCTGAACAGGATTGCTTACCCAGGGGAAGGTGCTTCCTGAAACCCCACCCTTATTGTTGTTGTTGTTGTTGTTGTTCTTCTTCTTCTTCTCCTTTTTTAATATAAAATTAATGTGTTTGTTTTTAGTTTTCAACATTCACTTCCATAAGATTCTGAATTTTAGATTTTCTCCCCTTCCCTCCACACCCTTCCCCAAGATAGACATAGGCTCTACTTATAAACTCATATTAAACATATTTTCACATTAGTCATGGTGTAAAGAAGAATTAGAACTAATGGGAAGAACTATAAGAAAGAAGAAACAAAACAAAACAACAAAAGAAAATGAGAGCAAATAGTATGCTTCCATCTGCACTCAGACTCCAACATTCTTTTTCTGGATATGGATAGCATTTTTCGTGAGTCTTTTGGAGTTGTCTTAGATCCCCGCATTGCTGAGAAGAGCTGAGTCTATCAAAGTTAGTTATCACACAGTGTAAACCCTACCCTTCTTAAGGAAGAGTATGAGCTCTACCAGGAGGATTCTACAACTGAAAAGACTAAAAAAGCACAAACCATGCCTAGATAGTCAGAAGATCAGCACTTCCTTAGCTGCTTAGAAAGTACAGATTCAAGATGAATATGAAATATCTCTTCAGCAGTCTTCTAGCAGTATTTCCCAACACCAAAAGTATAATACTGTAGATGGGATGGCATATTTTTTCCACATTTTCCACATTTTTTAATGAAGGCTACTGAGTTATTGTTTTTTAAGTATTTTTGAGTACGGTAGAGGAAATAAGTAGCAATCTCATATAAAGCGTGCTTTTTCTAGAAGGGATTGCATTAATCCCTTTTGGAGGAGACACTAAATGTGAGGTGTGCCTAAGCTTTACCATAAATATTTATTTATTTTCCCCTGAACTCCAGGGTCAGGCTATTATGAGCCATAAAGTGTTTTAGGGGTTTGGCTCTCCCAGCATTTAGTCTGGGTCCACTTAAGTCCTGAGTTGGACCCCTGTGTGGAAAGAGAATCCCCCCTGAAAAATTTCTCTATATCATATATGAATGTTAAATTTTATTCAAGGCTTTCCCTGAATTTATGGATATGATTATATGACTTTAAAATTGTTGTTAGCTTATGTATAAGGTTTATTATGTTGACAATCTTTCTAATGAGAATTGATACTTTTCATGCCTGGTCATGATGAATAATTTTCTATTCATTCCTATTAATTTTATTTAATATTTTTCCATCTATATTCATTAGAAGTGGTTGATAATTTTCTTTTTCAGTGTTATCTTTTTCCAATTTTAAAATTAATTTATTTTTTGCATCACAAAATATATTAGATAATGGTTTATCTTTCTGGGCATGAAAATCTATGTGTCATAAGGATTATCTGTTATTAGAAAGTTTGAAAGAATTCTGTGAAGCCACATGGATAGATGCTTTGTTTTGCAAGGTAATTTGATTACTTGTCTTATTTCTTACCTGCACAATAATCCAGTTCAAATTATTCATTTTCCATTGCATTAATTTTTTTTAAATTTAGACTTTGTATATAAAAACTTATTTTCATTTAAAGTATTTGGTCAGAATATAACTGTATAGAATTCTATAATAATATTCTGGATTTATTTTGTATTTTTGTGATCTTTCTAATTCTGTAGGTTATTTTGCTAATTATTATTTTCTCTATTTTGAAAAATTAAATTTGCCGTGTCAGTCTTATTGGACTATGGGGAAAAAACCTAACAGTTTTATAAATCAATTGAATTGTTCTTTCTTTTTTTATTTTAATTATTTCTATTCTCATGTAGGCTACCTTTTCTTTTGCTTCCCTTTGAATTGTTACTTTGGTTTTTTTTTTAATACCTTTTGGTGCAAGCTTAATTTATTTATTTCCTCCTTTTCTTTCTTACCAACAAAGGCACCTAGTGATATTAATTTGTCTCTTAAGAATTGCTTTGCCTGCATTTTATAGCTTTTGATATATTGTGTTATTACTACTGACTTGTAAATATAATCATTTTAGCCCAATAATTTTAAGAAATTATTTTTAAGTTTTCATATAACTTTCAGCTTTTGATAAAGTTATCATATAATTACATTCATATTGCATAATAGGTTAAAATATAGGATATAATTTATATCTTTTTTGAACTTTAGGGACCTTCTTTTTTTAATGGAATGCTTCATGAATTTGTGTGTCTTCCTTGTGTAGGGGCCATGCTAATCTTCTCTGCATCATTCCTGTTTAAGTATATGTGCTACTGAAGCAAGCACTTTAGGGAATTTCTTAATGACATTAGTGTTAGTATGTGATTGATCTGTATGTGATCAATTTTTGTAAGCTTTCTATATAGACTTGAAAAGAATGTGTATTCCCTATTTTCTCATTAAATTTTCTTTCTAATCTATTAATTTCAACCTATCAAGGAAGCAGTTCAAATTTATAATTTATTTATTTTTCATCTTTTTTTTTTGTCACATTCTGATAATGGAGTATTTGGGTCCTCTTTTATTATTCTTATTTGTGTATATATTTTTGTATGACTGAAACTTTTCTAGTCTGAACTTAACCATCAAATTGCTTAAAGCATACAAATTGAAATTTTTATATTTTATTTATATTTCCTTTCTCCATAATCTGATACATTTTTTAGCTTTTGAATTTTTTTCTCTTTTGAAATCTATTGTGTCAGGTACTATTACTGTCATTCCTACTTTTAAAATTTGCCATTATATAAATTTTTAGACCAATTTATCAATTTTAATTAAGTTATATAATTTTGCATCAGAGGTTTCCTATACGTAACAAACTGATAGTCTTTATTTCCTTATCTACTCTATAATTTTCTGTCTTAATATTTTTGCTCATTTATGTTCATTGTTATTAGTAATACATTTTATTTGATTCATTTCATTTGCTTCTTATCTATCTGGTGTTGTCTAGAAGGAGGAGTGAAATCCATCTTAATCTTTCATTACTATTTCAACTATTAAAAATAGCAAGGAAAACAAGTTATATTTCTGGATTGTAGACTAAAAACTCTAATTTTCTAGGGGTTTAATCTGCTCTTTACTATAGATACATTATAGCATTTATAGGTTTGCTTTTGCCTTTTCTTCATTTTTGTTGGTGTTTTTGTTTCTCAGCTTCATGAAATATTTTAAAAAATAAATATGGATGTATTTCAGTGGTCTTTACCTTTCTGCATTAATCATAACATAGTTTTTGTCTCAAATACTAGTTTGATTATTTTTGTTCCAATTAGAATAATTTGACTACATCATTGCATTTCTATATATTTATGTATATAAATTCTTAATTATAAATTATAATTAACCGATGGCAAATCACTTACCTCCTCTTTAATAATGTATGCCAGCACCTCTTTAAGACTATAAGTTGTAGAACAAAAAGTTTCCTCCCTAGAGAGTTCCTAATATCAATGAAATCATGGTTCCAGTAAAAAAAAAAAAAATGACTATTTTCTTTTTTTTCTTGATCATTTATTAAGCAGTCAGTTTGCATTGCCTCTTTTAGTGCTGATGAGTGTCTCTTTAGTTGTAGATTTTTGTTGATAAACTCTAGTTATCTTTGAAGTATATCCATCTGTTTTCAAACAATATGATCCTGTTCATAGAATATACAATTTGGAGGGTCAATCCTATTTCTGAGATGACTACATCTTTGTCCAACTTAAACATTACTGCTTTGTTATTGGGGTTTTTTTTTTAATGTTACTTTAAGTGATTTTTTAAAAAAAAGACAATCTTTTTTTGTTCTGGAGGCTTTTTTTTTTTTTTTTACTTTATAACTTCTTTAGGGCATCCTATTTAGGATTTCCCCCTTGCTGGTGAATTGTGTATATGTGTTACTTACAGAATATTACCTGGTCTAGTTTACTATAGTAAATTTTCTCTAATCATGTCCTCAAAGTCAATGTGTAACTTTATTTTATGTATCTTTTAGTATCTAAATTAACAATGTTTGTATAACTTGCTTTGGCTTTGAAATCTGTTATTTTTGTTTTGCATATTCATTAGTAGCCTTTTCAATTCTAAGTTGAGTAGAGTTTTCAGTTTATATCTTATGCTCTTTATATCTCTTATTTGACTTCTATTATTCCATTATTTGCCACTTCCATTGATGGTTTCAGTGCTTGGATATAATTTCACTCTTCTCTTCTCATTTTGTTTTGTTTTGTTTAATGTTTTGGCTCAATTAGCATTCTCCTTTAGTTTTTTAAATATATTTATGATCCAATTTAATTTGTACTTTGTCATTACTGCCATCATACTCATTAATGTGGTTTAATAAAGATTAAGTCTTTGGTACCAAAGAATTTTATATTGGCACATGATTTTCAAAATTGTTACTTAATACTTTATTTGGGAGGAGGGTTTAATTCATGTCCCATATCGTTTTACCTATGCAATTTGAAGAACAAAAAGTAAATATGTATATGTTTGTGGGTATGTATATTTTTAAATCCTAAAAGGGTAGTCTGCTTTTAATTAACTTTCCTGAATTTGAATATGACAATAGGACTTTGGTTCTATTTATTCTTAGACTTGTTTTTAAAAAAAGACTCAGTGTCTAAACAAAAAGGGAAGAAAGGAACAAACATTTATAAAGTTCTTACTGTGTACCAGGTACTGTGCTAAGCACTTTGCAAATATTATCTCATTTGATCCTGACAAGAAATCTGGGAGGGAGATGCTATTAAGATCTCCATTTTATAGTCAAGAAAACTGAGGCAGGCATTTTGTTAAGTGACTTACCTAGGATCATACAACTGGTAAGTGTTTGAGGCCAGGTTCAAACTATAATATTAGTGTAATATTAATATTATTTTTATTCACTAAAAATTATAATACCTTGAATTCACTTAGCTCAATATTACACAACGAGTAAGTATTGGAGGCAAATTAAACTTGAGTCTTTTTGACTCTAAATTTAACTCTCTACCCAATGCCACCTACTTGCCTCTTTTACTTTCCAAGAAGTTGAAGTTTGGAATATTATTTGGTCACATATTATCCAATCTTCATGGTCATGTACCAGTCATACTCCTTTGAGGCCTCACCTGTATCTAAGATTAAAGCAAGAAATCCTGCAAAGGAGCAGAACATATGGTACTAAACAAAACTGCCCAAAAGTGAAAATGGTAAAGTAGTTCAAATTCCCTATTAATCATTGTTTCTAGAGACATTTGAAGGTTATTACTTACTTTGAATTTTTTTTTTATGTTTCTAACTTTATTTTGGGCATGGGGGATAAGGACAAGGGCAAGTGTCCATATAGTGATTCAGATGGGGAACAACTAGTAGGGAGGGGCAGAGTATGCAGAAATCAAGGTCCCAAAAGCTTCCTTCTCCTTTGGCCACTCCATGTATTTCCTGTCATCCCCCTGGCCACTTACCAACTGTCAGCTGAACTCTTTTGTTTTTTCTTTGAAAATCATCTTTATTGATTTTGAGGGCAAAATTTCATGCTGCTTTCACGAGGCTCTTATCACGTTCTCCAGTAGGCAGATCCTCTGCTCTTGCCATTGTCCCTTCCGAACTGAAAGAGGCCAAATATTAGCACCTACAGCAGAAAGCTAATAGTCCCTTTTCTTAGAAAAAAATTAAGGGCTTATATATTCCTACCACAAAATGAGTTGAGCAGTTTTGCTTAAAGTTGTTGTTTGCGAATCAATTCTATGGTGATGGCTATGAATGATAAATAAGTATAGTCTACTTACAGAAGAAACTTGAACTCTCCAATACCCCAGGCTTGTGATCTGAGATGGGTGTCAGTGACAAAGGGATCACAGCCTGTATTTGCTCACATATTCCTTAAGAGATTGTTGAACTTGGTTCCTTGGAAATTGGACAGTTTTTCATTTATGGGCCAGAATTGTTCCTTAGAGTTAGAAGGGTGACCAAAAAGTTCCCTCTCCCACTCCCTCCCCCCCACTTTTTTTTTGTTCCTATTCGTTTTTCCTATGCAGAGTCTGTCAAAATAGATACTGTAATTTGAATCTTTTGAGCAAAAACCCTAATAGGGCAATGGATATTCATAGGTTAAAAAGCTGGATTTGGGCAAGGAATGATCGAAGTTAGTAGGATGGTTCCCTAATAAAATTTCTTTGGTAACATTTCCTAATACTCTTGTCTTCTTGCCAATGATTTGGAGAATTAATTCTGATTTAATTTTCAGTTGTCAGTTGTGGCTGACTCTGACCCCATTTGGGGTTTCCTTAGCAAAGATACTGGAGTGGTTTGCCATTTCCTTCTCCAGCTCATTTTACAGATGAGGAAACTGAGGTAAACAGGGTTGAGTGACTTGCCCAGGGTCACACAGCTAGTAAGTGTCTAAGGTAACATTTAAACTCAGGGAAGATGTCTTCCTGACTCTAGGCCAGACACTATGTATACTGAGCTGACCATTCTGATTTAATACTTTAGGTCATTAAATTTTGCCCCATTTTCATGGCTAGTAATGAAGATGGCAATGATAGTAATGAGTACTTATCATCAATTTTGAGAATAAAATAGGTTTTGGCAAGAAGCATAGAGTAAATTACAAAATTCAAGATACTGCATCTTAGTTCAATAAGTGCACAGCAGACAACAGTAATGTCCTTTGGTGGAGGCTTATAGAGAGGACCTGAAAATTTCCTGAGGAACTTACTAGGAACTTCAAAAGGAAGATTGTTGGGAGGATAAGAAGGGTTTGGTGAATATTCAGATCTGAATTTTAGAAAGGGCTGATCCAAATTGTTTAATAAATTGATTTTGATAACATTAGTCATTAATTTTCCCTTCATTTAAAAAAATTAGAATCTGTCCTTTAAAATGTTATATATCCTAAACTGCACAAAAACAATTATTAAAAATAGAAAACTAACCCCCCTTCCCCTTCATGGCTTATATTACCATTCTAATCCAGATGTTTTACAGTCATGAGCAAATTAAGTAAGGCAGTGGTGGATTTTGAAGCGTCATTTTCTGGGTTCATCTTTGATGCCCATGGTCCAGACGAGTGGATGATCTGTTTCCACAGTCACAACTCCAGAGCCATCGTAGGTATTTGAAGTGCTGACTAGGGTTCCAAACATGAGCACACCGTTGGTGAGGTTCCATTTTAGACCAGTTGTGGTGACTTGCTTACAAGGGTATCCAGCAGGAATAGGGCCACACCTTCAAATCCTGTGTCTACATGCAGTTTGTGCTTTCCTGGCTAAAGCAGACAAATGAGGGAATCTGCTCGTATGAGGATGACAGGCGCT